GCGCGACGTCCCGTAAAATGTTATAAACTGTCGCGCTTACAGTTAAATCGCAGCTATTTAATAAATAAGAGGTAGTCAGCGGGCCGGTCCAAAATGACTGATGGGCCGGTTTTGGCCCGTGGGCCGCCTATTGAATAGGGCTGCAATAGATGATTGCCAAAATAAACTAATTAAAATAAATGAGGACTCAATCATACTCAGTGCAGGTTAAGTCATTATTTCACATGTTCAGAATCATGTATTGAAATTCTGGGCAGCCCCAGTTTCCCTGGTTTTTCGTTACTGTGGATTGAAGACATTTGAGAGCAGGCTGATTCAGTGACAGTGCCACTCTCATTCTCATGCTTCACAAGAAACAGTGAAAATTGTGATATTGACACTGAAGTCTAAATAATGGCATCATCAGCTAGGCACAACAATGGATGGAAGTGCATATTCCTTAGCCATGATGTTGATGCATTGGTTGGAGAAAGATTGAGCTCTAAATCACTTTGCTGATGTATAGTCCATGGTGAATGGCACAGAGAATCATGTTTCTCTGAGTAAAGTTGTACATTCAATACTGGCATTGAATTACTGAAGTATGTAAAACAGGTAAAGGAACTGGATGACTGGAGGTCTTGTGCTACGGAGTCTGCAGGTTGAGGTGCTCGGTTTTCTTGGTAGTGGTGTGGGAGGCTTGTTCTGGCATGGTGTTGGTCTGGTCTATCCTTCAGAGACAAAATAAATACCAGTAAATGCAAATTCATTTTGAGTGATCACATTCATTCTATAGGACTCCAATCGCATTCCATCTACTCAAATTACATTCCACAGGACTGCAGTCTTCGTGTACTTTAGAGATCATTGAGGGCTTTGATAAGAAAGAAAGGAAGTAGACCACATTCCATACCTGTTTCATTTAATAGGTGTCAACCCAAATCAACCATTACTGGAGCGGTTCCTGTTTTCCCACATAACCGACAAAACACAGAAAGGTGGGATTTCTTGTAGACGATTTCATGTTGCATTGTTCAGATTCTCTGTTTTGGTTTATCTTTTTATGATAACTTAGTATTGTGCCTGTTCATTTTTGGTAATTTGGTGTCTCCATTACATATCAGTGCAAAATATATTAAAGCTGTCACGCCACACACAAGCAGCAGGCGGCGCCAACAAGACAGAGGTTCTGGAGAATCCTCCCAGAATCCCAAGGAAGTGATGTCATTGGGTTCCAATAGTTTTCGCCGATTCCACAGCACAGAAACAGAAACCTCTAGTCAGAGTCTTAAATGACCTACTAGTTGCTACTGATACTGGTGCCATAAGCCTCCTTCTTTTGCTCGATTTAAGCGCAGCCTTTGATACAGTCTCACATGCCATTCTTATCCAGAGGCTCCACAGTCTCGGAGTTTGTAGGGCAGCACTTAATTGGTTTATTTCCTATCTCACAGACAGAAACCATTTTATTACCCTATCCGGTCAGACATCAGACATATCAGCTGTCACACGTGGTGTCCCCCAGGGCTCTGTCCTGGGGCCACTGCTCTTCATCATTTACGTTCAACCTCTAGGCTAGATCATTCGCCGCTTTAATCTAAATTTTCATCTTTACGCCAACGACACCCAAATCTATGTTAGCTCCAGCTCCATACACACTCTTCCACTTGCGCATATAGAAACCTGCCTATCTGAAGTCAAATTATGGATGAGCCAAAATTTCTTAAAACTCAATAGTGATAAGGCTGAACTAATTGTCTTTGGGACAAAATCCACACTTTGCAAAACTATCCCGATAACCCTCAAATTGGATCACACTACCATCTCTCCATCTCCTCTAGTCCGAAATCTTGGTGTCACCTTTGACCCAACCCTCTCGTTTGACACACACCTACGTGCCATAGTAAAAACTGCTTACTTTCACCTCCGTAACATTGCCCGTATCAGGCTATACCTTTCAAACTCTGCTGCCGAGTCCCTCATTCATGCCTTTATCTCTAGCCGTCTTGACTACTGCAACTCACTACTTGCTGCTATCTCCGCTAAATCTCTTCATAAACTTCAGATAGTTCAGAACTCTGCTGCCCCCCCCCTTACTCACACCCGTTCCTATCAACACATCACACCCATTCTGCAGAGCCTGCACTGGCTCCCTATAAAAGAGTGCATTCATTTCAAAATGCTGCTTCTGACACTTAAAGCTCTTAACAAAAAGGTCCCCCATATCTTACTGATTTGCTTCTACCCTACCAGCCCCCCTGCAGTCTTAGATCTTCCTCTACTGGCTCTCTCCTCATCCCCCCATCCAAATTACATAGCTATGGTGACCGTGCATTTTCCCGTTTAGCTCCCCGCCTTTGGAACTCACTACCTACTGTACTACCATCCGTTTATCGACCTCTGTTTCAGATTTTAAAACCAAGCTAAAAACCTTTCTTTTTGCCCAGCCATTCAACCTTCCGTATGCATAATGTGTATTTCTTTAATCTGTTTTCTGTGTACTTACTCTGTAAGGCGTCTTTGAGTTCTTGAAAAAGAGCTATATAAATAAAATTATTATGTAAATATAAGTATTATTATTATTATTATTATTATTATTATTATTAATTTAAGAAGTCACCTGTGCCCTATAGAGATGGCTATTTAACCTGATCTGCGTGTCATTTGACTTTGCCCAGTCTTGAAGTTCTTGTTTGTGGGTTGGTGTAATTTTTGGCTGTTTTTCTAGGATAGTTTACTTCATGAAGTGTTTTTTTCCACTGGTCCTCTGAGCTTTCTTCCCCTTACTTTCTATCTCCCTTTGTGGAGTGGTATGACCCGCTGCCTGCCTTCTGGTTGCCTGGCGATTGGAGGGAGCGTTGGCACCGGCTGTCATCTCCCCCCTGCTCCCCGTTTGTGTCTGAAATTTTACTGTATTTGACTCTCCCTGCCGGCCCCTGGAGGATGGGCTCCCCCTTTGAGTCTGGTCCCTCCTAAGGTTTCTTCCTTCTCGGGAGTTTTTCCTTCCCA